AAGCGAGAATTTATAAGCTTAAAATTCTAAGATAGTTGGAAAAGCTTTTCGCTGTCGCGAGGATCTTACACTAAGGCAATGTTTAATTAAATAAATATTTATTCATCTATGCCATTCTGTTTTGAAAAAAAAATCTTTAAAAAGTTAGGAATTCGTAGTACTCGTAGTTGTCGTAGTACTGTCGTAGGTTGTGAAAACTAGGATGGAGACAGAACTCTGGATGATCCTAAAACCAATACGAGTATTACCTAACCGATTAGATTCGATATAGATAGCGACATGTCCGCTACAATATCGTCTCGCCTCTGGCCACCGTTAACATGCAAAACGACCGCTGTCTGGTCAAAGCTTTAACTGGGTTGCGTTAGCTACAAAATTGCAAAAGTGCCATCGGAGCTAATAATAATCAGCTGTAGTAATAATTACGGAGAAGCACTGTTACATTAGTTGGTGACATTAGTTAAATTTAAGATTTTAGACATTATATTTATTTTAATTTAAATAAATGTGTTTAATTTTTAATAAATAAATTCGATACACATATTTTGTACTTTTATTTATGTTTTCAATAAATATAATTTCTTTACCAAAAAAAGAATTGCCGCTTGCGAAATAAATAAATATAAATATTTTAGAACACATTTTTACACAACGTTGTCAAGTCCCAAACTAAGCAACGCTTGTACTATGGGTACTAGATAACTGATAAACATACTTAAACATACTTTTCTTTTTGTAAATAAATACACATCATACATATATATACACCCAGATACTAGAAAAACACTATGTAAACACACTATCACCACACAATATTTTTCTAGTAGTGGGGATCGAACCACACCGTCTGGCGCAGGAGATAGGTACACTCCCCACCACGCCATTCGGGTTGTCGGAAATTTCAAATTGTGAAAACCCCTGATCTTATCTTGTTTGTTATTTTACTAAAGAAAACAATAAAAATAGACAGATAATGTAATAAGCGCCTCGGTGGACTTATTTTGGTCGCAAACCTCAGGTGTCGGGAGGCTTATCGCCTTTCGCTAAGCACAAATTGATTGGCTTAGGTAAGACTAAAAAAAGGTATTGATGGCTTACCCCTCTGTAGAGCCCGATCAATGTGAACATCAAGATTGTTAGTCAAACATCCCTTCGCCAATAACCGGATAAAACTATAAATCACTAATTGAAGTCAAACATGGCTTCCACGGATTTATCCTTTAAATCCGTTCACTGGAGGCCTTAATTAAATAATTTCGCCCGCGAACCTTTCGCATTTGACGAAATTATATGGTCAGGCACCCGGATTGCCGTAATTAACCGGCCGGATTAACCCGACGCCGCCCGGTTATGCTCACAGCCGGTTTTGTAGAACGCACTATACAAATTTTCGATGTACTCACCGTATAACAAACTGATGTTGTTTTCCATTAGAGACAGCCGTTCGTTTGCAACCTGATGGTAATTGACTTCTACCGATGGCAACCAGCTACAACCAGTAAAGTGTGGCAGATGCTTTACCTAAAGCGTTCCGGATACCTCAACCCAACTCAGCGGCCCGGACGCTCGCTTTTAATTTAGTACACTCGAGCAACCTTTTTTTGTTTATATTATGATTGACTACATTAATAACTAATTTTTTCCTGTCAAATGACATTATCGTTCAAGAATGCACCTACCGCGTAAGTATTCGAAGCAGCGATGTTTTTTGTTCTCAAAATAATTGCGTCGGACGCAACTCGAACCGTACAAGCCATGTATTGTCACATTCAATCAGAGAGCACTGACAACTCAAAGAGACACATTTATGCTACACGTATTCAAACAGGGCACTCCGCGACATGTGAAACGCTTGAGGCGAGTTCATTTCCGTGCCGCCTTTGCGATGGCTTTTTTCGCTCACTACAACAACGGTCGCCCCAGCCTTTGGGTTTAATTTCCTGTGTCGGCGCTCTGTTCAGCCCTGCGGCTCATCCCCTGTGAAAATACGTGTTGTAACCGCGACGAATTTTATACACGCGCACTGCTATCAGCAATGTAAAAACGTAACAATGATGTAAAATTGTAATAAACTTGTAAGATGAGGTAGTCTGCCCATCTATAGTATGTTTATATACATAATTCTTCTGTACGTGTGTGTTCCTGGACTCCTCCTTAACGGCTGGACCGATTTTAATGAATTGTTGACGGATTTAAGTCGCGCGTACAGGACAACGCAGGGTACGCTGATAATATGATAAATAGGAGTACACATTTCTTCTTTTTTCTTCTTTAAAACATTGCCCTCACTTTAGGATAACATTATCATGTGTTGTAAGGACGTTTTACAAACATAAATTGCACGAGGACAAACAGCCAGATACGAAACAACTATCTGTGGGTCGCACAAATAGTTGTCCTGTGTGGGAATCGAACCCACGACCCCCGACGCCGAAGCCAATACCTTGGCAACTGCGCCACGGAGTCATCGATGTAACAATGAACATGTAACAATGATTATTGTTTTATCTTTTTTTTACACCAAGTCGTAACAAATGCATGAATGATGAGTGTAGTCTGCCAATCAATAATTATCAATAGGAAACATTGGTATTTTAGTGTTTGTAACGAATAAACTCAAAAACCAATTTCAAAAATTCCCTCACCATAAGAATGCTACGTTATCGCTGAGTAACATAGGCCATGTCAATCACTAGAAACAATTGGGGTCCCAACTAAAACGTCAATAATGTAGCACAAGGTGTAAAAAATAAATGTCCACCCGCGCGAAACTGTGACGAGCCGCTAGTCTGTGACGTAAGAGTCGATCTGCGAATAAAAACTTACTCTTTACGAAATGTAACTTACGAATAATGTACAGACACGCTTTATAAATGCATAAGAAGTATCTCCTTCATCACTAGTACATATGTATTTATTTCTAACCCAACCCACTTGGCAACTGTGCTAAACGATAGTTCTTTCTTTCCTGTTTTTAACAAAATTTATAGGAGTAAAATCTAAAGCATAAACACGGGCGTTACTCACTACTTACTTATAGTACTCGGCGACACATAATTATTGCACCACACTTTAGTGCTTGGTGCGACAGAGATAGGTAACGGTTTACGTATCCGAAGTTAACCGATTGTCTCTTTCCAAAAATCGATGTGCAATACATATCGCCGAGTATGGTACTATATATCATTTATAGATTGCTTGTTGTTGCTTGTTAAACATTACCAAAATCAGAAATATAAAAAATCAGCAAGCAACATTCTCCATTTGAGTTTCATTAGAGAACACAAAATACATAAATGACGAACATTCTATAGCAGAATTAGAATCAAAGTAAAAACGTTAGAACACTTCTAACATTTTTACTTTGATTCTAATATTTTAACTATTACCGAACTTGAATATTAACAATTCTTATAACGACTAGTAGCACTAGTGGTTATATCACTGTCCGGGAACGCAGCCGAAATCCCAGTACAGCTGCTCCATGCGACCATGTGTCCCTTGGCCTGAGTAGATACAGTATATGAAGGAAGGTTTTATGAAAACTATGGTAGGGCCACGAAGTTCAGGTAAGTACCACGACCTCATATAAGACTGGCGTGAATTGGAAACTTCATACTTCTGCAATTCGTCTTGTGATAGGGTCCCACTTTACAAGGTGACAATGCATCTACAACCCTACGGGAGTTGGGAAACGTCAATGGGCAGCAATAATAACTTAACATCAGGTGAACTGCTAGCTGATTTGCCACAAAGCCGTGAAGAATCACAGCATTTGCGCTATCTTTAACTATAAATTAAACACGATTATTGACATTGTGGTAATTTCGACTTCATACCTGATCATTAAATAATACTTTCAATTTAAATTTCAATTATTTTAACAAAGTGAACTTACTTTTTAGGTACACTGTAGAATTTCACCCAGTGAAAGAGTTTTTAGAATCAGTTTTATTATTTTATAAATATAAACTAAGATCAAATGAGTAGAATAAGGCAGTATATTAGGAATATATTATTATAATATAGGTGAAATATTTTGAATCACGACTTGATATATGAATTTTAGCCTTGGTACAGTTGATTACAATGTAAATATTGTATTAAATATAATTTTTGAAATTCACAAGTTTTTGTGGAAAAATAACATTATTTGTTCATTGTCCAACGTATGATTCACCGATGAATATTATCATGATTCATCACAGTGTCAAAAATATCACAAATGTGACGAAAATTGAAGGTTAATTTTATAAATATTACAATTTACATAAAATAGTATTAAACGAAGGTTTATATAAGAAAATATCGCTATGCACTTTATTTATAAAATTTACAGCTCTCTTTAATTTTAATAAAAAAAAGAACAAGAACTTAAATGTAATATTAAATAAGCGCCACCTATGAGAGTCAATGTAAACTTTTAAACTAAGTTCTATTTATGTCCTTATTCGAGCGACTGTTGGAATTTGGTCAGAGCAATGCTTACTAGAGGGCGCATTTAGTATTTAAATTTTTATTCGTATTAATCTTCTTCTGTATATATAAAAATGAATTGCTGTTCGTTAGTCTCGATAAAAATCGAGAACGGCTGGACTGATTTGGCTAATTTTTATTTTGAAATATTTGTGACAGTCCAGAGATGGTTTAAACATATAACAATAATTTTATGTTCCCATACAAACTGTTCCTACCTGTCAAGGGTCAGCTAGTTGATATTTAAATAAATCAAGAAGTTTCCATGTAATTCCGATAGCATATATTAATGAGATAGAAATTATTAACAAATTACACACAAATTTAAACTGGTGTAAAAAATTTAAATAATCCATTTTTTTTTCTCTCCCTTGTTTCAGATAATCGCCATCCGTTAGGGGTCCCATTAACGAGTAATTCCATAAAAGCGTTAGTCAAATCCGAAAGTTCCTAAAGCTGTCACTTTAGAATAGATAGATCATTTTCGAAATTCCTTTTAGATATTAAATTTAGAAACAATGAACATGTACAGTTCGAATGAATTCCTGCACAGCGCGGGCGTGAGCCGGCACATGCAGGCGACCGGCGAGACACCTTCGCAGAAAACGAGCATGAAGCGCCGCTCGTGCGAAGTGCCTCTAGGGGACATATCGTCCAACAACTTCAAAGTGTCGCTGGGCGACATCACCAACGAGGGCCCCAACTACGACTGCCGGTCGCTGCGCTCGATAAAGTCCGAGGACACGCGCTCGTTGAGATACTACAGGCCCATTGACAGCCGGAGCGTGAAGAACTTCAGGTCCTCCCTGGCTGATGTGTCCACTTGCTCCCTTTCCCGGCCGCCTAGCTACGACCAGCTGTCGCGGCGCTCCCTCGTAGAGGGTCCGGACGCTCACGGCATCACCTCCAGCATAGAGGGCGTGCTATGGTCCGACGAAGAGGAGAACGAGTACTTCTACCACGAGAACGTGACGACTGCGTGGAACCAAGGTCGGTATTAGTTTGCTTATGTGGCGGAAAACACACACTAAACACAAAAATTTATGCATTTAGATTATGAGTGTTGCGTAATGACATAAGCTTGAAGCCAATAAGTAATACGCATATGAAATTTTATTAAAATAAAAATAGCCTTTATTTACTACTACAAAAAGATTTTTGCAAAACATAAAATTAAACTATCTTTAATGATGAGAAAACGAGACAAAAAATGTTTAAAGCATGGTGGCAGTAATCGCTACTGCGGCGTAGGCCACTCCTCGACCTTTTGATCCAGTGTCTTCTGCGTATAATGAGATCCACATCCATAGATAAAATACTAATATATGAAATAACCACGTCTATTGACAACTGAAATTGTCTCCCCATCTTATAAAATAATATGCATAAACACTTATTAAAATCTCTAGACAATATATAGAGCACAATATGTCAGTGGAGATTACAAATTAGACCACTAGATGACGCGACAGTCTAATTCATAAAAGACAGATGGCGCCACCGCTGTCCGCCTCAATTGCATATTGCATTTCCCTCGCTTTCACGAAATTACTCCCACCAAATTGCGGACACCGAAAACACGTTACACAATAATACATAAGTAACATATTTTAATACGAAAGTAGGCTAACAAATTCTCGACAGGCAATTGGTACGTTTGAAGGTCTATAGGCCTGTGATCATTACGATCATTGATTGATGAGGTTCTCTTATTTGCATAATGACCAACCTACGTTGTTCTTCGAATAAATTGCCTCGGTTACGAGTTCGTTTGCTTTTACTGCGTGAACGTGTGTCATTGATGATTTTTAGTCAAAGCGTTTGATCGGGACTTGGACTACGTCATTGGAATGTCTCATCGGTCGTAAATCCACGGCGAGATCCAGAGACTCGGCAAATAGTGCAATAATAAAATAAACACCTAAGGATCAATTACACCACACTGTGTTAGTTTGCAAAATGTAAAGCCACCTACATCCCTTTACTCGTACATTTTTAATTCCCGATTAATACCCGGTTCCTATATTCAACGAACGGCCGTTAGTTACATAGCTTCGTAACTTTCATAACGACTTGTAGATAAAAGACGTGTACGCCCGGTTCCTATATTAACAAAACGAGATGTTTTACTTACGAGCCTTTGGATTATCTACGGAAAGTGATTTAATAGCGTTCCTTTATTCTACAAGTCGTTATGAAAGTTACGAAGCTATGTAACTATCGACCATTCGTCGAATATAGAAACCGGTCATAATGATATTTGAATAAAATTATAAGAGAATTCCTGATTAGCCTTATTACCTCCATTTTAGAAATCTTCTAAATACGTACCTACAAGGAGACGATTAAGTTTGCGTAAACGTGTAAATGATATTATTTCAAGAAATAAATAACAAATAATTTCAATCAAATTCAAATTAAAAATATCTTCATTCAAATAGACGCTTGCGCGTTCTTATGAAACTTCGAATTTTGCATTAAAATTGATACATAAGTTCGTAAGAAAGTTACCACCGCTTCGGAAAGCCTTTCTGTTGATATTAATTTTTCTGGTGAGTGGGTTAGCATTTTAAAGGTCAGCAACGCAACTTAAACCTACGGGAACTGTGCATTATATATCTATCAGACAAACTAAATGTCATGTTCATCGTGTCCCTTCATGTATAAAATCGGCAAAAAAACCGATGTCTGTTCTTTAGGAACCCCACATAATACTTTTTTTATTCTGTTTTTTAATATATGTTGTTACAGCAGCAACAGAAACGCATCATCTGTGAAAATTTTAACTGTCTAGCTATCACGGTTCATAAGATACAGCCTGGCTACAGATGGACAGACAGACAGCGGAGTCTTATTAATAGGGTCCCGTTTTACCCTTTGGGTACGGGACCCTAAAAAAGACTAGCGCAGACAACTTTCGCACCGATAATGTTCATGCGAAAAACCGGGCTCGCATCGCGAAAACATCATATTGTTAAAACGGTTCGATCGTTAAATTCATTAAGCGTAATGTTTTTCTCGTAATGCCTCGTGCACGGGCCGTTTCCGAAATAAGGGCTGAGTGCGGTCGTTAAAATTGAGGGCTTCATTTTTCCAAAACGCGAACGACCACGCAACGATCCGCGGTTATGAGCGAAACGCTAACAAACCACTTACGAGCTATATAAAGGGAAATTAATACGTCGTTCCCGATTGATTAATCAAATAAATAATGAAGGTATTCGTACACGGAGTTATTATGGACTCTTCTTGCCATCCTTCGAATGCGACGGCAGATTGAGCCATGATAATTTCGGGGGGCTATTACGAGTTTTCTGTTCGTGAAACGACAAAAATAAGGAACTAAAGTTTATTTATTTATGAAAATTTTAGCACAAAACCCTCAGGTTGGCTACGAATTGAAACAGAAGTGGCTTATAGTGTTGGCTAGTAACAAAATTTTTCATATTTGTACATTTAAAAAAAATAAAGACTTACGGAATTTTGTATGTTTGTTCATATATATCTATTATATATTATTTCATTATAATGATACAGAAAACTCCGGGCTAAAGCAAACTCAAAATATGATTGTGAATTATGAATATAAGAAAACGTAGAACCGATTTAATTTTCATTTTAAGGAGTATCAGCCCTAATCACGCGCTGTAAACATCTTTTAACTCTAACTAGATTCTAAAACCTACTTACTCACTCTTCACTTTTTTCTTATCTCTATTATAAGATTTTACTTGATACTATCCCAAAACGATTGTTATTAAAAATATGCGTATGTGTCTTGAGATTTCGGGTTCGTGTTTGTTTGAGGGTTTTCCAAAGCATATTGGATTCCAAAGCATTAGTCGGGTTCGTTCCAGGAAGGATCTTTCTGGACTAGTCCGGAACCGGTCTCGGCCCATATAAAAAGCCGCAGGGAGGCGAGCGATCACAGTTCAGTTTGAGCTACCTTCGAGGCGACTTCGGAGGCTACAAGTGAAACCTACGACTTGGCTACAATCTAGGACATCGTTAGTGCTTAGTGATTGGACCTAGTGCTTTGTGTTGGACCTAGTGCTTGAATAAAGTCTTCAAAAGAGTCAGCAGGTCTTTCTCTCCAATCCTTCGAACCCCTAACACGTAACAATATTATTTACTCGTCAAATACTCCGCTTCTTACAATGCATGAGTAAAGATATGCGTGCAGAAAAACAGCAACAGGTTACCTGTTACCAATAAAAACCTCAGTTAAAATATGGGGAAAAGATCTATAAACTATAAGACGAATACGACAATTCGTCGTGCACTTTCAAAATATCCCCTTTAACGCCACTTATAAAAGTTTCAAAACCGAATTAAAGTTTCGTAATTCGCCACCGTGTTTTTGCAAATCAACGCGTCCGTCGATGTGGAAGCACCTTATTATATTCAATAATTTTTTTCCCCTCCGATAACGCCCAATTTTTCGCAATCGCCGAGAGATTTTTAATTAATTATCTCGAATTTCGAATGCGATTAAACTGTCGCATAAATCACCGCGCTCGTATCTTAATGAGAAGTGAAAATTGTAAACATGTTGTTCACTGAATTATGCATTTCCTAGTGAACTGATTTGTTTGTTTAATTATTCTCATTACTAGCGACCCGCCCCGGCTTCGCACGGATGCAATTATAAACCTTTCACTTGAATCACTCATCTAATAAAAAAACCGCATCAAGATCCGTTGCGTAGTTTTAAAGATCTAAGCATACATATGGACAGACAGACAGCGGGACGACTTTGTTTTATACTATGTAGTGATGAAGAGTCATGTCCTTATTGTTAAAAGTACTCAGAGTGACGAGGAGACTTGGAAAATATGCGTCGGGATGCGCCAAGCTTTGTTAAAAATGTAATAGAACGAATGTAGACAGATGTCAAGATTTTCGCCGATTTCGTAAAACGCCTCGGCACTTAACTAGAAGACGCAGGTTTGAATCCCGCAGCGCAGACATTTTTTGCTCATTTACCTACAAAAACAAAAAACCTACGATTTAAAGTTTCATCTTGAGTACAGATACTAAAACGAAAATTAACCTTAAAACCGCCGCGAATTGAGATTTGCAACACTTATAGGCTTGCAGATGCGTTGGCACCTTTTAATAAAGTAGGCCCCGGCTACCTCACCCTCCAGACGAAACATTCTATGTTTCGTCTGGAGGGTGAGGTACCATAAGACTTCCAATTTCAAGCATAACAGTTCAAATATATATCTGTACCTCAGAAGTAAACAGCATTATGCGAAAAACACAAATTTTACAGGAGAGGAAAAAATGCGAGGAGTGAATGTTTGAATCATTATTGATTATGATGTCATATACGATTGGGTATTTTATTAATTATGCGTCATATAACTTAATGCTTTATACTATTCTGCATAATTTGTATTTGAGATTTCGATTAAACTTTTAGAAATAGGTGTTTACAAGTTCACATCTACAAATATATGGGTTGTGTTTTCGGCATCAGCAAATTGTTTCGCGTCTCCCTTAGTTAGTTACTTTGACCAGCTTGTTAAAATCGAAGTATTCGAGACGAGAAAAATCTAATTTGTCAGTGCAGTCATTGCTTCACACGAAACTGTATTGACGGAACTTGATGTCCAATGTTAAATAACTGCCATCCGATTTTATCCAAGAGAAACGTTTCTGCTTGGTCATAGCGTCACCGTTGATCGTAGCGTGATATTAAAACCCCATAACCTCCCTCAAGAATTGGGATAACAAATGCAAAAAGACTTCTTCAAATCCCACAAGTAGTTCCAGAGATTAACGTCTTCAAACAAACACAATCTTCAGCTTTATTATATTAAAAATACATAAGTATAGATGTTAGACGACGGATAGGTTTTTTTATTATTTTAAGTAGCGCATCTTGAGTGGTCAGGATGCGCTACTTAAACACTGGGCAATGTATAGAAAGTTGTAAGCCTGGTTACGGGTAAACTACATTGAGGTTTTCCGCTTTTTGTTTGTAAATTGT